CCCCCGAAAAGAAGCCGGAAGTTTCCCATGTTACTGGTGGGGACCCTTCAGCTATAGTTTTCCAATTCAGGCTAATGTCTGACAACTATTCAAGGAAAAATGTATGTGCTCATTGGGGTAGAGAATGCTTCTGAGTTCTTTCTTCCTATTGGATTGCATCTGGAACTTTTCCTATGTTGTGCACTTTTTTAGTGGGCAAGTTTTATCTTTGGGGAAAGGTGGGAGAGCCTGCCTGGACCCAGATCCATTGCCTCAACTGATTTTTTCTGAATTTTCTTTAGGAATCAAATTCAAGAATGCCTTCTGGGTTCAATTTAACACCCCCCTCCCAATAAATATATATTATGTATGCATAAAAACAGTATAAGGGAAGACATGAAAGTGTTTTATCTTTGGTTTATGGGTTTATAAATAATTGTATTTTCTTTTCTATACGTTGCTATATTTTCCAAACCTACAAGAATATAACCTTTTTACTATCAGATTTAAAAGTAACAATAAGTGTCATAGTTAATTTGTAAATGCTTACCAAATGTTGCCTCCCCCAGGAATTGTTCTGTGACCACTCCAAGGGGAGGTGGGGGTGGGAAGCCCTCCTCACCATTCTCAGGGTCTAGCAGGGTCCTCTAGCACCGAGCACGCTGGATTTTAATTGTTTGTTTATCTAACTCTAAAAAAGACTTGAAGTTCTTTGAGGGAAGGGACTCAATCTTTAATCTCTGAAACCGCAAGGCCTGCCACATACATTAAGCATTCCTAAGGCTTTTGAATCAAATCAAGTAAGTAGGAATATACAAACTCAAGTGTTCTCACTCCAAAACCGGCTGCGTCTTCCCTGGGGCGAAAGAGATCCCGGGATTTTCTCCATTCTTGACTGTAACCTGGGGCCTGGGAAAAACCTGCCCCCTTAACAGTCAGCACTAGGGTTGCAGGAATCCAGCAGGAGAGGTGAAATTCAAGTTGGGTTTTCCTGGCAAGAGAGCCTAGATTAGTCACACGGTGGCGCTAAAAGGATTCCCCGAGAATGCTCATTCCTTTAGGATCACTCACTCCTCCTAGGGCCTCCCCTGGGAAAAAAGGAAAACCCAGCACTTGAGACTGGACCCTTTTCCAACAGCTGATGGTAGCCTGCATTTAATTCAACCACAGTTAAACTGGGCCCAGGAGGGAGTGGAAATATGCATCCGCTAGGAAACACAAATTTCTTCCAGAAATTTCTTTCAGAGAGCTTCTTCAAACGAGCCAACTACAAAACAAAAAGTAGGAGGCTGTGAAACTTAGGCTTTCTATCAACTATAACTAAAGTTCAACTATCAGTCAAGTGAATCAGACACACTGAAAGAAGTAAATCCCTCTTTCAGCAAAGGATTTGTAACGCCCTGAAACTGAGCAGCCACACAGCACCTTCCCTCCACCTCCCCCGCGGGACAGCCTCGGGCAGGGAACTCATTTTCTCAGTCCTGACGGAGGACGGAGGGCCCTCAGGCAGCAGAGACCTCTGCATTACCTCCTGGGCCTATTCTGAAAACAACCGAGTGTAACCCTTCCCGGTTCTTAGGGCTCCACGAGCCCCTCCCTGCAGTGTTATCTAGAAAAGAATTCTAGACCCGTAGGTAACGAAATCTGCTCACATCTGGGTCTGGGCCAGCGGGCCCCACCCGCAGAACGGCCGCATCTTTTGACTTCCATATTCCCTCACTCTCGAAAAACAAACCAAGAGGAAGGGCACGGCCGAGGGTGGGGATGTCCTGAAATATTCGACTGCGTTCGAGCAGTAAGAAAAGTTACAATAATGCGAAAACTAGGGGCGGGTGGAGGCCAGGAATCAGGCGTCTCTGCACAGCGAAACAAGGACGTGTGCGCGCGCGCGGAGGGAGGGGGGCGGTTGTGCAGGGGGCACAGGAAGAGCAGGGAGGGAAAGGGGTGGAGTGAGCGGAGCTCCGATTCCCGCCCAGGCTCCTCCCGCCTCCGCTCCCCGCTCCACGTACTAAGGCGCGCGGCTGGCCCAGCTCTCCTCTCTGGCTGCGCGTCCCACCCAGCCGAGCGTCCCAGTCACGCCACCGGTCAAGGTTAGTTCCGCAGCCCCGGCCCCGGCGCGGCGCCCGGGGAGACCCCGGCATCGGCTGCTCCGGCACGGCAGGCCTGGCTTCGTGGCGTGATGTCCTGGCCGCGGAGGGAGGCTGGGCTGGGGGTATCGGCTGCTGGGCGCTTTGAGCCACACACGGGCGAGGCCAACAGCGCCCTCCCCAGATCCTAGCGGGCGGAACGAGGGGACACGGGTCCTTTACTACAGGACCCGGGTGTTGTTCCCCCGAGGTCTCTCCTAGCTCTCCTCCCTTTCTGTTTATCATTCTTTACTCCACTTTCCTACTTTGCGACTAGTCCCGCGAGTCAGCCGAAGCGCCGTTTGTCGCCCCCTGTCCTGGCCAGCGTGTTTCTTCTTAGGCTCCTGGCTGCAGGCTGACCTCTGTCCGGTATTCGTAGCTCCCTCCCAGGGGGCTCTGGGAGGGCCGGGGAGGTTGGGTGGGGCAGCCGCTGGCAGTTGGCGGTCGGATTCCCTTCCTAAAGGACACTCGTCAGACCATCGCCCAGATGCTGCATGTCAAGCTTTTTGTTGTTTGATGGGCGGGAAGGTCATACCACTGAGAGGGGAGAGGGGGTTTTTAGTTTCTTTATAAAGCAGTTTTTCTAGGGGTAGTGGGGGAGAGGGCACTATATGAAGAGATTTGGCCATTGAAAGTGTTCCCTTCTTGCTATCTTAAACAATTGGAACTATAAATGAGGTAGAGGTAGAGCTGTCTCGGTGACTTTCCAAACCAGATAAACCTGGCTCAGTGCAGTGGGACAGATAGAAGTGCGGTTGGCACCCGGTCACAACTTGAGCTTGGCCGAAGGAATGGTGCTTTCTCCAGCCCTGGGCACTGCACCTTCCAGCCTCGGCCAGACTCCATGTAATTGAAACCAGGATTCTGCATTGTTGGGCTAGGGTGGTGAGGAAAGCAGAGCAGCTACAGCCCAGGCAGAGCAGAGCCCTAGGCCAGTCTCTGGATTATATTAAACCCAGCCCCTTCTCTCCTAAAGGGAGCCGGGAGCCAATCTGCAGGGTGTGGTTAGCACAAAGGGCTCCCAGATTCTCCTAGTGGAGGCCTATGACTCAGCTGTGAGAGCATGTGGGTGTGGCTCTGATGGTTCCAGATACCTCTGCAGATGGTTCCGGCAGAACGCTCCCTAAAGAAAAGGGGAAACTGTACCCTCTTAGAGGTCATTTTTCCAGAGGAAATGAGTCACACCAAGACTGGCCGGCAACTGAAGGGGAGGTTTTCTTGAGTGAACTGTGGGGAGGGCAGCCATTAGATTGGCAGGGCTGTGGTAGATCCACTGTGGCATCTCTCGGTAAGCCTGCCCACGCGCTGCGTCCGCTCGGCCCGGGAGGTAGCTTTTCCCGTTAAAGGCTCTGCAGTAGAGGCAGATTTTTTTTTTCCCCTGCAGCTTGAGTTTCAGCCTACAGCAGTGGATTTATATATTCTGCTCTTCAGGTGAGGCAAGGTTCAGTCGAACACCCTCTTAGTGATCTTTGCCTCCAATGTGTTGCAGCACAATTGCAAAAGATAAATACCAGAGGTTGGGGCAGTTTCTGTTTAATGATCTCTTCTGAACGGTACGTACCTTTCTTGTTCGCCAGAAGCTACTTTCTTCAATGTGGTCCTTGATCCACCATCTGGAGTTTCTTATTTCAGTTCTTCAAATTTTCTTGAGAGTATACTTGGTATATAAAGCACCCTGATTTTTAGGTGATGCCCTTCCCTGGCTTTTTTTGCATACAATATCACATGGGTCCTTTTCCTCCCATGTCTGGCTTCTGACGAGCCTCTCAAGCAGCCACCCCAGTCGGTCAGGTTTGAGACCCCTCTCAAGCCTGAGAATGGGTTGGGTAGAGCTGAGACTGGGTGCCTCCTTGCTTTCCACGACAGTTCCAAAAACGTGACTTTTTTAGAGCACTACCCACTTGGTATGCCCTTGGACACAGTCCAGTCTTTTAAAGTTGAGGGAAACAATGGGATCCGTTCAGGATTACAGTGTATAAATTAGCAGGCAGAATACTGAGAAGGATGTACTAGAGTTTTAGTATTTTTTTTAAGCTCATTTTCCTGAGGACTCAACAATTTAGGAATCTCACATCAAAAGCAAAAAGAGCTAATTTACTTATTTTTAACAATTTTCAGCACTTCCTGGTCCTTGATTCTTAGCCCAACTCTTCAGTGGATTTAATAGCAGTTGTCACAGTAGCTATGGTTTGCCAATTCAGACTAATGCCTGACAACTCTTCAAGAAAAATAGATGTGCTCACTGGGGTAGAGAAGACTTCTGAGATCTTTCTTCCTATTGGATTGCATCTGGAACTTTTCCTTTGTTGCCCATTTTTTTAGTGGACAAGTTTTGTTTGGGGAAAGGTGGGAGTCAGCCTGGATCCAGATCCATTGCCTCAACTCATTTCTTCTGAGTTTTCTATAGGGATCAAATTCAAGAATGCCTTCTGGGTTCAGTTAAAAAAATTCTTTTTTCTTTTCAAAATCCCCAAAAGAAACCTCAAACACATTATAAATAACAGATACTTGTTTTTACTGATATCCTGCCAATTATTTCCTGGGTGGGCTACAAGAAAATTAGGGTATGGACAAGACACAGATGAGCAAAGTAAATCAGACCTCTTGCTCTTAACAAGTGTCCTTTTTCAAATTAGGGCATGGATCTGGGCATAGGTCCAGAACAAACATTTGAAATTGCTCACAAGCAGACACTTTTTGAAGAAAGCCTACAGCTTCCCTGCTACTCCCAGGAGCATTGAAATTTATATTATTGTCAATATCATTCTTACCAATTCATTAAGCATTGTCTATGAAGAGGTAGGGTCCTAGCTACTGTGACCCTGCTTAAGGAGCCCACAGCCTAGTGGGCTGAGAGGCAGCAGTGTTCAGTGTTGGAGAACCAATATGGAAAAGTTGAATTCCCACCACTGTGACTAAATTTGTCAAGTTCAGAATTCTTTACTATAGACAAAACTATATACATAAAGACTATAGACTCCTGAGCCTCCATTCTTAAGACCTATTGCCCAGCAAACATACAGGGGATATACAGATAACAGAATAAATTGATTAAAAAGTGAGTGAACAGTGAGGTAGTTAGATCTTGTATTGCTCACAAACAATCCTTTCTTGTATTGAGAGGGCAGAGCTAGAGGAGCACGGAATAGACAGGGGTATAAACCAAAAAACATGAGAAAATGGCAAGAGTGAGAAACGAAAGAGAAGTCATGTCAGGGTCTGACCATACCTGTTTAGCAGGACACATACTTCTGCTGCTGCTTATGGAACGTGCTTTCCTTTGCACTGTGCTGTTCCATTCATGCACAGCCCCTTTGAGGCCCCTTACCTAGCCCTGCCCAGCTCTCACATCCCCCCACTGAGCTCTGAACCTCAAGGTTTTCAGCCCAGACCTGGTAGTCACACTTGCACCTCAGCTTCTACCATGGGGATTGTTTGATTCATTTCACTCATTTAGCATTAATGGTTCATGTATAAAACAAAATGATTCACAGTTCTTAACCTAGAGGAACTTTAAGGTAGAGAGCCAGGTAAATGTTTCAGTGGATTGAGTGTTCAGGTGCAGAAGTAAGCTGCAGAGGGAGCACTGCTGCCTCTTGGCCCCAGGCCCAGACTCTCCAACAGAAGTGTATCTGGGTCCCAGCCCCAACATTGCCCAGAACCACCCAGAATCATGGCGTTGATGCTGCAGTCAGCCCCACCGAGGCAAACCCTGCCCAGGCTGACTTGGGAACTGCACAAGGAGAAGAGCAACACGATTTATCCATTAGCCAAGAGTACAATTTTAATCACATTTCTCCCCTTTTCCTTTGGCTTCACCCTCCTTCAGAACAGAATAACTTGTTCACAGCCTGGGCCAGAGCCCTCTAGAGCATGCGTCACTGATGAGACCAAGGTCATCTCTCCTGGTTTTCAAAGCTGTTTTTGCCTTCCCAACTTTCAATCTCCTGGCTAGTCCTTCTTCTACATTCTAACTGCAGAAGGTCTACGAGACAAATAGAAAATCAGCTGGTTGCTGTAGTCACAACCCATTTGCTAAATAAAACAGTGAGGTGGAGGAGAAGGGGGAAGCCAGCAGGGCAGGGATGTGTCACCAGAGCACAAAGCTCGGTGACTTCATGAGTGTGGGCAGGAAGAGGGTGGGACCACAGTGCCCTGAGCACTTACTCAGGGAGGGCTGGCTTCATGCCCTTTAAGTAGACCATCAGGGGTGGCCATGATCGCCTCTGTATGACTTGCATGTCTTACAAGTTGCTAAGCTAGCCCACTCTCCTACTTCAGGGGTCCTTCCCTTGGTGCACTCCCTTTCCTTCTCCTCTGGCTTTGCTGTGTAGTTGCCTTCTGCTCTGCCTTGTGAAGACAGTGAACCAAGTGTCCTACAGCCAGTGCCAGTTCCTGGGATTTGGGAATTAATAGCTCATGAAGTGCCCTGCCACTCTTAGCTTGGGCACAGGTATTTTTAAACCTCTGCCCGCTGACTCCTTACCTGAGTTATTTCAGAATTGGGGTGAGATCCCACATCCTTCTGTCATAGGTGACTCATTCAGTTTTGTTCTCTTCAATTGCTAGCCTTCCAGAACCAGTCACTCTAAGCCCACTGCCGTCTGAAACCTTATCAGGGATGAGGACAAGCCAGATCTGTAGGAGAGGGGAAAGGGTGTGGTCCTGTGGAATTCGTCTCATAGTGGACCTTGAAGCATTAATTTGCTGCTGTCTCTAAGAGAACTGCCTTCCAGATCAATCATACCAGATTTTGGTTTATAGCATTCTCTAGAGTAGCATATTCTTTGGCATGTTGGTTCCTGTACTTTTCTGGGGACTCGGGATGGAATTTATGATTCTTAAGTGTAATTGCGCAATTCTCGTGGTCACCAGCTTACTCCACCTTCTCCTCTATAAGAGATAGCACTTAGGAATCTGTGTTGAATCTGGATCTGTCAGCAGCAAGAACCAGACCAAAACCATGTCCCTGGTTCCTGTTGGTACTGTCCAGCAGGACACGGTGCCAGTCTCTCCTTCAAACAACCTTTGCTCAAAACCTACTGTGCTTTTTTTTTTCTTCGAGTAGTATATTACAGTCTTCATTTTAAGTTCACCTGTCTTCTATCCAGAAGTGATTTTAGGTGATGTTAGTCAAAGTTACTGTGTTCTGGCCAAAGTATTCCTTCCAGTTAAACCAAAATCCATGAGCTCCTGTTAAGTCCCAAGCATGGGTGTTAATGAGACATGCGTCCCCAGATCATCACACCTGAATATAGTGCTCTGACTTGTCTCCTTGCCTTTGTTTATGCTCTTCCTAATGAAAAGCTTTTGCTGTGCTGCTGCACCCCAGACTGGAGAGTGGCTCTTCTGTCCTTGCTGCCAAAATATATCAGGTCCCTAAGGGAATTAGGATATACTATTGCTTCTTTTCAAGAAACTAGATAATGAGCTTTGGGTATCTTTCACTAAGGTAGGGCAACTGCATTTTGCTACCAAAGATGCAAATGTCTTTATTGTAATCAATAAAAAGTTCAGAACTTTAGTAAAGAATACATACCCAACAGACAAAATACACTTGTAAGCAGACTTCTAAACCTTAGAATTAGACTGAACCAGGTTACCTAGTTAAGGTTGAAGGTTTAAGTTTTCATATTAATTGGGCGTGATTCAGCCATATCTGAGAGTCCCATTTATGAGTGCCAAGAGAAATTATGTTTCTTTCAGTAGGTGCTTTGTCAGTTAAAAAGGGGGACACTGCTGTTGCTTTTCCAAATGATTGAAATTTTTGTTCCTCAGTAGCTGCTGTATGCACAGTTAGCAGGCAAGTAGACAAATCCCTCATTCAGATCACCTGAGGTGCCCATTTCCTTCAGCAGGAGATCTAAAACCTGGGGTGAATTAGTCCTTAGGTTTATTGAATTTTAGAGAAGGAAAGGATAAAATGCATGATCTAATCATCTTCCTTCCAGTTACCCACAAAGAACTGGCAATCCATGTGGCTCAAAAGTTAAAGGAAACTCTGTTTCTTTACATCCTTTAAAAGGTTTCAGCAGACCTCACCAAAATGCCATCTCAAATGGAACACGCCATGGAAACCATGATGTTCACGTTTCACAAATTTGCTGGGGAGAAAGGTTACTTAACAAAGGAGGACCTGAGAGTACTCATGGAAAAGGAGTTCCCTGGATTTTTGGAAGTAAGTACTGAAAGCTCAGAAAAAAAGACATAAAAAAAAACAATGCTCCTAGGTCTTGGCTGTTTCCCTTCCTCTTTCCATCCTTTCCCTGTGGAGGTCACTACTGGGAAGGTGTCTTCGTTTATTTATCAAACATTGAGTGCCTGCTATTTGTAAGGTACTGCAAGGGAAGCAGAAGGTAGAGAAGATGTAGCCCCTGCTGTCAAGGAGTTTACAGTTTGGAGGTGAGATAAAACTACAGATAATCACAAGACAAGGTGTTAGATTCCATTTGGAGTCATCTGCATCCATTGAGAGTTGTGGGAAAAAGGCCTTTCACCAGAGTCATCAACCAGAGAAGGGCCACGTCAGGTCACAGACCTGCTATTGGAGATGCCACATCCACTTTGAGCAACTTGAATCTCCCTTTTTAAATCCCTTCAGAAGAAGGCTTTAAAAAAATATTTTCCTACTCCAATCTGTAAAGGAATGGTGTCAGGCATCTGTTGAATGAGAGCCAGGCAGTACTCCAGAAATAACTGCTTTTCACATTGAAAATGCTGTGAGAACACAGGAACGCAGCTTTGAGTTTATGCCTCACCTTTGACAGACTGAGGAATCCATGAAGACTAGAGGAGGACTCTGCCATCAGCTCTAACACATCACCCAGGCATTAGGCCACAGGCACAGTTGTTTTTTTACATCGTAGCCCCTCAGGCGATGGTGGTTGTATTTAACTGAAGGTGAAACATTGCTGGACAAGATGTTAGACTGAAATGCAAGTCCATCTTTCCCTAACACAACTGTAGTCACTTGAAAGGATCATCACTGTGCTTGGTGTGGAATAATGTCTTGGCCTCTCACAGGCAAAGGGAGATGATGGTAAAGGCGTCTTGTCATCTGCCTGGTGTAGATAGCACATTTGTTAAGCCCCTGACCCTGACTCAGTAAACATGGGGTTTTATACTACACTATGATTTACATGTCATTAGTCTCAGTTAAATCGACAGAAACAGCCTAACTTTAGCCTCAGATCCACAGTTACCGCAATGCTATGCCAAGATGAGTTAGAATATGCCTTTGCTCTGCTTTTATATAGTCCTGTGATATAATCACAGACGGGAAATTAACTGTGGCTCCGCCCTGCTGCTGGGCAGGCTGCTTCAGCTTTCTGGGCCTCAGTGCCCTCCAGTGTGAATGAAAGGGCTCCACGTGGATGTCCCCAAGGTCATTTTCACTTTTGTAGATCCTTCCAGACAAGCATAAAATGCAAGACAAAACAAGCTCATTGTAAACCTGCCTATCACTCCAACAAAAAGGCATCCTTGGTACACTAAATACAGTCAGTTTATGCTATTGCATTAAGTTAGAGGCCAGGATGAACATCATGTGAGACACAGACCCTTCCTCCCTAGAAGCTCTGTGGCATGAGAGATGTAGAGCTTGCTGTAGCATGGAGCACCGCACATAGTGTGGCATTTATTCCAGGCACACCCACACTCTCTGCTTTGACAGAATATTTTGTTTCTAAAGTTGACCCCTTATGTCATCTAAATTTCACTCCTGACCACAGCCAGGAAGCTATGGGTGAAGCCAGAATTAACTGAAACTCACCAAAAGTGGAGGCAGCTGCAGAGTAGGTTTTAGTTGATTGCTTAGGGTAGGACTTTGCAGTCCTCGTGTAGGAAATGCTGCTGCCTTTACCTTGAGGGATTTCTGAGTGCAGTTGTAAACAACTAGAACACTTGTGACCACAGAGTGTCAGTTCCCTCACTCATGTATACAATCAATGGAATTCATAAATACCTGAACCCTTGAACACTTATAAAGAGCCATATTTCCCTCCCTGGTTGATCCTATGGAGAAGCCACACTTTCCCACTTCTAACCATCATCAGGAAAAGGAATGATTTGAAACTTACTCCCTAAATAATCATAGGAGACATTTCTATAAGGAGTTTCCTTTTTATAAAAGATCTGGCCATGCTATCAGTAGCATTTGAATAAACATTTTTTTTTAAACTGTAAGTTTAAATTACAAAATGGGGAGTTTAGGGTGTTCTTAGGCAGAATCTTGGGATTTTAAGAACTTAGGAAACAGTTGAACTGGAAGCAGAGCAGTTCAGAAGGCCATACTGGGTTCTAAGTGGCAAGAGCAGTGGACTGAGAATTCAGAGGTCTGGGTCCAGCCTCTTTGGCCCTGAATCTCCTCTTTCTAAAAGTAGGCAGTTTCTAAGGTTCCCTATAGTTATATGAAAGAATACCATGGAAACCTCTTGTCTAGCTTAGAACAAATGTGAATTTACTGAAATTTTCCTTCAAGGCAGAAAAATGCATTGAGATGACCTCCAAAGGTTACTTACGACCTAAAATAAGAATTCAAATAATTGGGTTATCAGTACTTATCAGAGAAGTTCATCGTTGCAGCCATTGACCGGTATTTTTTGTATTTGTTCTTTATTTTTTTTTAGAATCAAAAAGACCCTCTAGCGGTGGACAAAATAATGAAGGACCTGGACCAATGCCGAGATGGCAGAGTGGGCTTCCAGAGCTTCTTTTCACTAATTGCTGGGCTCACCATTGCGTGCAATGACTATTTTGTACTACACATGAAGCAGAAGGGAAAGAAGTAGGCAGCATTGAACAATACTCCCTCCCTGATAAGAGTTCTCCCATAGGGTCACTTAAGGATCTGCCCCACAGCTTCCCCCTGTATAACAACTTCATGAGCAGATGAGGACCCTAAAATATGTATAAATAAAATCCAACCCCCATTAGACAAACAGAAAGAAAAGCCAAAGCCAGATAAGCTTCTGATTTTTATATTGCTTGCATCCTTTTGCCCTCAATAAACAAATTCCTCTTTCAGTTCATAATTTGAGACAGAATGTTTGTTACTTCTTCAGAAGTGGGTGCTCCCTGCTTCACTTCACGAGGAGCCTGTGTGCTGTTGGGCAGTCAGTTCGCCGCGAGCTCTTTGCACAGAACCGGCAGAATGGGAATGCACTCTCCACCAAGGCTCAGTCTGACTTCTTTAGTTGCTCTGCCCTTGTGGCTGTATCTAGCCAAAGGGCCAAAACTCCAAGGGCTCAGAGAAGGCGCTTGAGGAATATATCCTAATTTTAGAATTACTGAGCAGTCTTGCCCAGTTAAATCAGTGCCTCTCCATCTGGCACTCAGAATGTCTGAAATGTCTGAATCCATTTTTCATAGCAGAGTTTCAGCAAACTCTAGGGTAAAAATAAGTCCAGAAGACAATCAGAAAAGAGTCTATAGTGTGACACCTCAGTAACACCACATTAACATTGAGTAGTCATGAGATGTCAGGAAATATAGGCTAGCATGACTTACATAATGGGATACTACTGCCTTTTCATTGAAAAGGAAGTACCAGTTATTGATGTTTTGATAAATAGCAAAATGTTTCAGCCCTTTCTGTGACTGTTAGACCATCAGGATGTATGCTTTACATGTTATATGCTTATTTGTGCCAATTCATGTCAATAATTATCAATATTTAAATAGATCAATGAAGATGGAAGTAGTTTTTATGACTAGACACCAACATAATTCTGGGGTAAAGTTCAATATAAGGTCATCTATCATCACAAAAACAAAAGTGAACAGGATAGTCTAAAACAAGTTTTGGGGGAAAGGAATCTGAGATCAAGGTTAAAGTTAAGATTCTAGTCATTTTGTCTCAACCAGCAAATGAACAAGGTAAGACAACTTAGCTTTGCAGATGTAGGATTACGAAGAGAAGGATTTAGTATCACTAACTAGAGGAGGGGCAGTTGGTTAGCTAAAGAAAGTGACTGTAGAGATGACTGAAGTCCATGCCATAAGGGAGCTGCTGGCTCAGACCTGGCTCTTGCTGAACTAGGAAACCATTGCTACAGCTCGTAGCTCCAGAACCACACAACTCGTACAGGCCACACTAGCAAATAACAGCCATTTCTCTCCCTGTTTCCACAAAGGACCTGGTTACCAGGTCCAAATCTCAAGGAAGTGCCTCTAATTAGCAGAACCTTAATCACATCAAAGTCCTCCCAGCAAGGGAGTCTGGGAAATAGTTTCACATTTTCCAACCTTTGCATGCCAGAAGTTGGCAGGCTGATTAACCATAACTGCCACAGTGATAATTCTCAGAGAAATCTTCAAATTGTAATTTAAAGAAACTGGCTGTAAGGAAAGGAGGCTTTAAAAGATAACCTCTGACAGCTACAGGGAATAGAGACTAAAACTGACCCATTATAGTCAGGCAAACCACCTCTCTGCCCATGAGAATGTGCATCAATCCAGAATTACCCCTTTGGTTTATACCACCTGCTTCCTGGGGCAACTGTTTACTGGATATTGTAAAATTGGTGTTCAATTCACAAGCAGCAGGTGAAATTGTAACACTATAATGGATTCAGTGTCTCCAAATCCATAGCAAACTTTCACACTCCAAGCTTTTACCTGGAAACAGAATTATTGCAGGAGAGGGCTCTGGAGGCAGAGAAGAGAAAGTATCAATTCATCTTAGTGAGTATATAGATTCAAAAATATTCCAAAGTTGTGTGTTACTCCCAGAAGATAACCCCCAGACTCTAGTATTCAGAAAGGTGCCCAGTGCCAGGGAATCATGTGGGCTGCTGTATTTGAGAGCTTTTTGTGTGTGTGTGTGTGTGTGTTGGGAGGGAAAAGGGAGAGTAAGAAACACTTTCCTCACTTTAGCCTCATTGCTCAAAACACTTAGTAGGGAGCTAGTAAAAGGAAAATAAAAATGGCATTTATAGTTAGAAATCCTGCATGGCTCTCCGTACCAAGAAAAGCACATAGATGTCACAATCTGGCCTGATGAAACAGCGTCTAGGCTTTAGGGCTGCAGCCTAGAGGCTCTCAGAGGGCAACGCTGCAGTTACGCCAACAGCCATCAAGAACCATCTGGAAAATTCCACTTATTCTGCTAAATGGCTGAGTTGTAAAAGCAGATGCCTCCCCTCTTCACACCCAGTTATGAAGGAAGAATGGATAACAGTGCAGAAAGTCAGTTTCAAACACTGCAGAGCTGACCCTGAAAAACACCTCATTTTTTCTCTTGGACACTGCCTCATCCAGGTCCTCTGAACATGAGCCAATCACCTGTGATTTAATACTTGTCTACTCAGTTTACCTCAGTGGAAGACCAAGGACAAATATAAAAATGTCATTTTTGCTCAGTCTGACCAATTTCAAAGTGATGGTTCAGTACCTTCTCCAGCTTTTAACCCTGGGAGGATAGAAGTAAAGAGAAATTCATTGTTTGGCAAATGTTTACAAAGGCTACTGTATAAATGACACCAAGCAAAGTTCTGTGACGGATATAAAGACGCAAATGCTGACAGCACTGCTCAAAGAGATTATAATCTGGTTGAAAGATAACAGATAAAGCAAACAAAAACTTAAATAACAACACAACAGAGCATTGGCAGGGGTAAGATGTGAGGGATACCCTTAGTCACTGTTGATAGGACTGTAATTTATACAACCTTTGGAGGAGACAGAAGTTGTCAATATGTATCAGAATCCTTTAATGTGTTTTCTTTGACCCAATATTTCTATTCCTAGGAGAATTTATCTTAACAAAGTAGTCAAAGGTAGTTACAAAATTCATATACAAAGATATTTGAATCAGCATTATTTAGACTAGCCAAAACCTGAATACAACCTAAATGACTAACAATAGGGTTATGGTTAAATAAATTAAATATACATGTACATGGGATACTATGTAAACTCATGCAAACCATGATTTTGAAGAATAATATAAGAGAGGGCAATGTCTATGAGAAGTAAAGCAGATTGCAAAATTGGTCTGATGGAATTCCTTTCTTTTTAAAATATGCGTATTTGCACACACACACAGAAAAAGACTAAAGGTAATACACCCAGCTGTGTTTTAGTTTCCAAGGTAGGAGTTACTGGTTGGGGAAATTTCTCCAGGAAGAAGTGTATGGGGTTATTTTAATTTTCTTTTCTTTACGCTGCTATTATCTAAATTTTCTACAGTGACTCATTTTTACAATCTGGAAAACAAAACTCTAAATAATATTTTTAAAAAGACCATGCATATTTATTGAGGATGCACCACAAATCAGGATCACCATGAGATACTTAAGCATTACCTTTTTTAGCCCTCACAATGACTGTGTTAACATATTATAATATCCATTTTACAGAAGACAAAACTAAAACTCAAGTAATTCCATCTAGACCCACAATAAATGGCAATGTCAAGATTTGAACTTAGATACTGTGTTTCTTTCTATTCTGCAGCTGTCTCAATGTGTTAGTTGGTAAATTAAGTATCAAACTTGTCATACTTTAAAAGAGTAGAGCAATCATTGTGGGCTGGGCAAGACCACTGAGAGATTCTAGGTTAGGAGGTAGGATGTTGTTTGGTCTGTGAAGATTAGAAGAAATGAAAATAGTAGCTTATATTTCTTGAGTTCTTATGTTCCAGGTTCTTTTCTAGTGTTTTGCAAGTGTTAACTCATTTGCTCCTCCCAGCAACCTATGAGGTAGGTACTGTTGCAGTTCCTACTCTACTGGTGATTTGCAGAGTGAATAAGTGGTGCAGGTGGAGTTTGAATCTAGATCATCTAAGGTTCTAACCACACTTTCTTGCTGCTTCCCCAGACATAGTAATGATGGCACAAAGGGATGTGCAGGACATAGGAGGCTATGTGTAGTCCACCAGGCTAGAGTGGAGAGTATTCACATGAGAAAGTGCATGTAGATAGGACAGGAAGGGTAGGAGGTGATAAGTGAATGATGAACAGGGAAATAGTAAATGACATGTGAAGTGTGGTAGGTGAAATGACTAGATTAAAAACTCATCTAAGGTTTCAGTTATTTCTACTCTTGGGAGACAGAGATCACCCTCTTGCCTAAAAGGAGGTAACTGACAGTAAATATGTTCTTATGAATGGTCTACCCACTTTCCCAGTGTTCACATTCCATCACATTCCAGCTTACAAAAGATAACACATGGTGGCAATTCATATTTATCTTTCTGAGAAACACTGATAACAGAAAAGGGAGAAAAGAAATTGCCCTCTGGCAAGTCATGCCAAAACCAAGAGAGGGAGAAAATCAAGATGAGAGGGCTGGAGGGTCTAGGTGAGAAAGACACCTCCATGGAATATTTATTCTCTGTTCCACCCAAGATTTCCACTTATTTGCAAAATGGTATGATTACTCTGACTGTAGCTATCCTGTATTTTTTTAAATCCATGAAAGTAGGCAAAGTTTGGAAGGGGTTATGTAAAAGTAAAATTGTCATATTAAACTTTTCTTTAATATTATTACATTATCCTTTCAATAAGATTGACCAAAGAGGGAAAAATAATTTCAGTTAGCTCTCTAAATGTAGAACTTGTATTGCTCAATGTAAAAATCTTATGTTACCCAAAGCAACTCATCAGGGAGCAGCCCCTACACTGTGAGTGATCCCCATGAAGGCTCAGCCTGTTCCCTTCAACCTCTTTTAGGCACTTCCATCAAGGCTCTGATGAGCACTAAGAGCACTTAGCGTCAAGCCTGTTTTTCTAGAAGGAGGAAGATGATTCAGCTTTGGTCTCTGCAGAGTGACTTTGCCCTGTCCTACCCCATTCTGGGTGAGTTGGCACACAGAGCCAGGTTTCTTGGCCTTGCAGATTTTACAAACATTGAAATTTCCTTTCAATGAGGTGATTTAAAGCACTGCAGGAAGTAGCAAATGACACAGAAATGTGGTCAGTGGCCTGCACAGAGTTTACAGTCTGGTGGCATAAGAGCCTTGCATACCAAAGGAGTTAACACGTCCATGACAGTACCTGAGGTAGAGAAGTAGCACAGGGGGTGAGTGGTG